GATACTTATCGCTAATACTTCCTTAAAATGGTCGGTGCAAACGGCCATGAGTCATGCGAGTCCCACAAAAATTTTTACATATTTTTAGAATGTTTGTCAGGTAAATAAATCAGTCTGTAAATAGTTTATATTAATTCAGGGTCGGTTTTTTGTTTATTCATCTCTTGATAAACTTACTGGTAACTATCTACAAGATAAATTTTCCCATCAATAGTAATCCGATTGGTCAACGAATAATTGGCCGACCAATAGGATTATAGATTGCGTTTTCATTCGTCTGATAATTTACCTGATAGTTTATCGGTTTATACTTTTGACATAATTTGCCTATTGGGAAATGGACTAAGAAATAAAAGAACTTGTTAATTATCGATATTCAATATATTTATTATATCGAACACAGCGTGGAAAGCAGAGCGTGTAAACTCATAGAAATAATTATACGAACTGACTCAACATCAAGACAAACCCTTTCGTTAAGTAAACGATTCTTCATCTGTTTACCTTACATATAAAAACTATTAGTCCGGGGGCCGAGGACCTTTTTTCCAAATCATTAATAACAAGCTAGTTTTTTCAATGCAGCTTCATTTCACCGAGACGCCCAACTTTTTTCTCTTCGAAAATTGCGAAAACAGGTAGCTAACATACTGCGCAGGTGTAAAACATGTCGATTTGGTGACTATGAAAATTTAATTAATAACAGTTAGTTTTTCAGCTAAATGTTGAGATAATTTTATGAATAATTTGAAACAACATTTGTCCGACAAAATAAAGGGTTTGGTCTACGATGTCCCCCCCCTCAAACATGTAGCAATTACGTTGCATGAAAAATGATTAATAACAAGTTGATTTTTTCAATGTAGCTTGGTAAATATTATTACAATTAAATGGTCACACTGTCCTACAAATAAACAGGTAGCTATTTTCAGTCCTACACTCAAAAGTTGTCGATTTCACGATTTACCTTTTTTCATTAATAACCGGCTAAATCTTCGTGAGTATCTTCATTTTGATAAGACGCCCAAATTTTCTGTTGCGAAAATTCCAAAAACAGGTAGCTAACAGAGTGCGCAGGTGGAAAACATGTCTATTTCGTGATCATACAAATGTAAATAATAACAGTTAATTTTGTACAGGGGCGGCTTCTCAATAAGTGCGCTCGTGCGCGCGCACTGCCTCCAAAAACCAAGCAAGAAAATAAAATTAAAATTTTGGAAAGAAAAGTAACTTCAATTAAAAAATACCTACCCAATTTTCTAAATTAGGATAAATATCTACTCATTTTTCTATTTTTAAATTCGCACGAACGGAACGAAAGCGCGCCCTGCGCCTGTCTTGTATATTTTTTTCTCCCGCTTGGTTGTGCTGGTGGTCCGGGTGGTCGGTGTGGAATCGTTCGGCGCTCTGGGTAAATGTGTTTTCTTGCTGTGCGATTGATCGGGAATATACGGTAAGTCGCCCGATGAAAGGGATGCGCCGTGCGCTATTTGAATACACACTTCCAATGTTGTTTCCACTCAATCGAGAATATTTCGATGTTTTTTCACCATTTTGGCGGTTTGACAACTCTGTTGTTCGCGGTTTTTTTTTTAATTATAAATTTCAGTATCAATTATGTATTATGGCTAGAATACAAACATTCAAGCCTCATTTAAATACATATATTTTTGTTTTCGATAATTTTTCCTAAAGTAAAAAGAAAAAAATCAACATACAAAATAAATGTAAAACAGGACGTGGCACCTCCAAAAAATTTTCCAAGAGCGCACAACCACACTAGGTTGCCACTGGCCGCCACTGATTTTGTAGCTGAATGTTGAGATAGTTTCATAAATAATATGAAACAACATTTGTCCTACAAAATAAATGGTTTGATCTAGGCTATCTCCCTTCTCAAACATGTAGCAGATACGTTACATAAAAAATGATTTATAACCAGTTGATTTTTTTAATGTAGCTTAGTAAATACTACTACAATTAAATGGTTACAATGTCCTACAAATAAAGAGGTACATTTCTCCAGTCCTACACTCAAAAGTTGTCGACTTCACGGTAATACTTTATTCATCAATCACCGTACACCGGCTTAATCTTCTCGAGCATCTTCGTATTGATAATACGCCTAACTTTTCTATTGCGAAAAGTTGCAAAAGTAGTAGCTACTAGAGTGAGCCCTAGTGAGCACATGTAAAATACCTTGTTTAGGTGATTATGCAAATGTAATTATTAACAGTTAACATTTAATTTTTCAGGTGAATAATGAGATAATTTTATAAATAATTTGAAATTCGATTTGAGCCACAAAATAAATGGGTTGGTCTTCAGTGTCCCCTTTCTCAAAAATGTAGCAATTACTGGCTCATAAAAAACGATTTATAACCAGTTGATTTTTTTACTGTAGTTTGGTAAATATAACTACAATTTAATGGTCACATTGTCCTAAAGAGGTAAGATTTCTCAGCCCTACATTCGAGAATTTCGAAAATAGCCTTATGCATTTTATACGTAAATATGTACAGGGCTTTCATTTCAAAACTTGCCACTCACGTTATCTGCGTAAATAGACAGATTTCTAGAAATCGCCGAAACATGTCAACAAATTTATTGAGGGGGTGCGTTAATTTGTTGACATGTTCCGGCGATTTCCAGAAATCTGTCTCTTTAGGCAGATAACGCGGGTGGCAAATTTCGAAATGAAAGCCCCTGTATGTACATATGTACGTATACAGATGCGTGTATAACAGTATATGTGTTATGTGTATGTACACATACCTACATTTATGTCGATGGTTTCCATTCGCATCGACGCGCATGCTCGTAAATAACACAGTATCGTAGTATAGGGTGATTCAAAAAGCGCGCCAGATTTGAATTGCTCGAAAAAGAGTTTTGGCATGCCATCAAAGTAGAGGGGGCCATGCCCTTTGTCATTTTCCATACCCAGATGGAGAAGGTTTGATTCAACTGGTTCATCTTAATTCTAAAGATATTTAAAAAAATTAGAGCTCCTTTTTTAATGTATTAAATCTGGCGCGCTTTTTTGCTGTATATAGGGTGAATACAGGGTGTTTTCTAAGTTAGAGTTTTTCTTTTTAAATAACGTGGAACTTACAAAAATACAGGAGTTTTCCAAATAATATTTTCTCGACAGCTCAAAAATAAAAGAGATAGGTATGTTCATTTCAAATAATATCAAAAATCAAATATTTTAATAATTATATTTTTCAAAATACAAAAGGTAAAATTCTTGAATTTAATCTTTTTTTCCATAAATCTGTCTCTTTACGCAGATAACGTGGGTGGTAAGTTTTGAAATGAAAGCCCTGTACATATTTACGTATTATATGCATAAGGCTATTTTCGAAATTCTCGAATGTAGGGCTGAGAAATCTTACCTCTTTAGGACAATGTGACCATTTAATTGTAGTTATATTTACCAAACTACAGTAAAAAAATCAACTGGTTATAAATCGTTTTTTATGAGCCAGTAATTGCTACATTTTTGAGAAAGGGGACACTGAAGACCAACCCATTTATTTTGTGGCTCAAATCAAATTTCAAATTATTTATAAAATTATCTCATTATTCACCTGAAAAATTAACTGTTAACTGTTAATAATTACATTTGCATAATCACCTAAACAAGGTATTTTACATGTGCTCACTAGGGCTCACTCTAGTAGCTACTACTTTTGCAACTTTTCGCAATAGAAAAGTTAGGCGTATTATCAATACGAAGATGCTCGAGAAGATTAAGCCGGTGTACGGTGATTGATGAATAAAGTATTACCGTGAAGTCGACAACTTTTGAGTGTAGGACTGGAGAAATGTACCTCTTTATTTGTAGGACAGTGTAACCATTTAATTGTAGTAATATTTACTAAGCTACATTAAAAAAATCAACTGGTTATAAATCATTTTTTATGTAACGTATCTGCTACATGTTTGAGAAGGGAGATAGCCTAGATCAAACCATTTATTTTGTAGGACAAATGTTGTTTCATATTATTTATGAAACTATCTCAACATTCAGCTACAAAATTAACTGTTATTATTTACATTTGTATGATCACGAAATAGACATGTTTTCCACCTGCGCACTCTGTTAGCTACCTGTTTTTGGAATTTTCGTAACAGAAAATTTGAGCGTCTTATCAAAATGAAGATACTCACGAAGATTTAGCCGGTTATTAATGAAAAAAGGTAAATCGTGCAATCGACAACTTTTGAGTGTAGGACTGAAAATAGCTACCTGTTTATTTGTAGGACAGTGTGACCATTTAATTGTAATAATATTTACCAACCTACATTGAAAAAATCAACTTGTTATTAATCATTTTTTATGCAACGTAATTGCTACATGTTTGAGGGGGGGACATCGTAGACCAAACCCTTTATTTTGTCGGACAAATGTTGTTTCAAATTATTCATAAAATTATCTCAACATTTAGCTGAAAAACTAACTGTTAGTAATTAAATTTTCATAGTCACCAAATCGACATGTTTTACACTTGCGCAGTATTTTAGCTACCGGTTTTCGCAATTTTCGAAGAGAAAAAAGTTGGGCGTCTCGGTGAAATAAAGCTGCATTGAAAAAACTAGCTTGTTATTAATGATTTGGAAAAAAGGTCCTCGGCCCCCGGACTATATTATAAACACATTCAGTCATCCATAGCTGCGATATAAATTAGCAAAGTATAGGCTAATAATCAAAGATTAATTTAATAATTTTTGTTTCACTGATATGAATAACAGTTTATCCAACATTGCCTTCCTTTTTTAACAAATAGAAATAGACTGAAACAAATCAATGACATCAAAAACGTTCGAAGTATGAACCCTGGTGAAACGATCTGTACCTACTTCCATCACATCATCTAAGATTAACAACAAATTCAGGATAACTGATTTTTATTGAGCAAGGATGATTCAAAAATAAAGTTCTACATCTTCGCAGTAACCTTCAAATTTTCAATACAAAACAATCAAACACTTTAAAATATTCAAATAATATTTAATTTATAATAATTATTTCTAATTACAATGTTTTTTCTTACAAAGTCTTCTTAATTGGTTTTGGAGCAATGCTGACTTTTACTGGCGGACACAGATCGAGCATGGTAGGAGTCGAGTCGGGACCAAACTTCCTTTTGCCGATATCAGCTTCTGGAATACAAATTGCCACGTTGACGTCGACGTTGCAAGCCTCAGACCATACCTGGTGCGAAATCAGTACCGAACTCAGAAGCCTGATATTGTGACCTATTTGCGATTCTGGAAAACAATTTATGAAGATTACTTCATTTAAATGTATTATTTTAGTACGGATGAATCTCTTACCTTTGTTAGAAGTGTCATAATGCAACGGTTTCAAATGCTGAGGTCTTGGTAAGATAACTTGCATCTTCTGGTCGGGATATTTGACTTTCAACCGAATCCTGTTAGGGTCTATTAAATACTTAAGTTCGGCTTCAAACGGTACTGACATTATTAATCCTGCGGTGAATTTGAGGGACGTGTCTGCTTGGCCGGAAGGTTCAATGATTTGGGCTGAGCTCATCCGAATCTAAGATTGAAAACATAAATTTGTTATGAGATATATTTAAGGAGAGCTTGGAAGCTTAAAATGAATAAAATTAACAGTTTTAATTAAGCTGTTATAATTTCGCATCTGCAACGGAAAAAATCGAAGCAGCATGTCGTTTTGCTTGCTGATTCCAAAGAATTATAAAATTTGAAGAAAAGCTCCGAAACATTAGTGAAACGGATCTTCCATCAGACATAAAAGAAATTGCCCAGAACGCTGTATCCTCGCTGTTACCGGAAAAGAACAAGGACAGATACAAAAAGGAATACGACCGTTTCATCAGCTGGTGGAATGAAAAAAACATCAAAAACAACTGTCAAGAAAAGGTATTCCTCGCATATTTTGAGACATTAGCACAAAAGTACAGCTCATCCAGTCTGTGGGCATTTTATGCCATGATGCGCGCTACAATTTCCATGAAAAATAATAAACGAAATAAGCGCGGAATCTTGAATTTTGTAGGAACAGCACAAAAGTGGCTGTACGGAACACTTGACGCCGGAAACGGTGCTAGATATGACTCATATATTCAAACGTTGAATGAAAAACAGACAATCAATGAAAATTTGAAAAATCAAGCACAATTTCTTAAACAAGTAACAAAGACCTTTCATGACCAATTCTCAAACATAGAGAAAAATCAAGTAATTATTTCTCAGAGAATTAAAAATATTTCTGCGAATAATCAGAATATACAGACGATTATAACTTTGAACCTTATAGTTGATAACATTAATATGCAGAGTAGCAAGATATGAGATCTGATATATCATATATAACTCGCTATCAACTTTGCACAATCAAGCATTATGCATTATACTATATTGCAGCCAGATTCTTAAAAAAAAATCAAGAATCAGCAAATCCTATTTGACAATGTAATAAAGTATTACGAAACAATGTCGACAACAGTAAGCATTCAAAAGGAATTGATTATATTTACAATCTATACACCAAAAATACATCCAAAACCTTTTTTGATGTATAAACTCTAACCTATTCCTATCCAGAATTATACCATCAATATCAAGAATCCCTATTTGTTACTTACAACAGACAACAGACACATATTTTAATGCTTAGAATGAGTGCCCTAATGTCGAAGGCTTATACTTGTGCAATTTTAAGACATTAACCCAAAATGAGCCTTGTGTTCACAGCATCATTAATAGTGAACAACAAACTTGAAAATCGAGTATGAATGAAGAACCGACAGTTCAAGAACTACCTAACAATCAGTTATTGTTAATTTCCAAAAGAAGTTTGTCAGCAGTTATGGAGTGCAATCAGAAGAAGTACATCGAGATAATTGCCAGTCCCAGTCCTACTCTAATCTCCAGAAGAAAATATTCAGTGACTCTCAATAATCACACATTTCCCGAAGACATTAAAGAAAACTTCGATTTGGAGCTCAAGATACCCAAAATAGACATTCCTATTTTTCCTGAAAACATCACGACGATCAAACTAAAAACAGTAGACAATGAAGCCTTTCAAGAAGCTCTAAAAAAAGCATCACAACTTGAAGTTCGACCCTTCAAAGAGTTAACCTTTGTAAATAACCATATATCCACATATGTAATCATAATTTTAACTGTATTTTTTATAATTATTGTAACCATTTTATATTTTAAACATAAATTTAGGAAAAATGTGAAAACTGAGGTTCAAATTGAGTTGCCTAACTTGGTACATCAACCCCAATTTGCAACCACCTAAGGAGGAAGAAATTATATTGTAACCCAATAAAGACCCTTTTGTTCCCTCAAAATAATAATATCTATCTTGCTTATGCTAGCATTTATTTTATTATAAAACACACACGCAGCTACTGTTCACTGGCGTAACTATCATAGAGCAGTTCGATGCAAAACACCGAGGCCCCGAGACTTAAGGGGCCCCTCATTGGTCATAGGTACCCAGTGGCGGCTCGTCAGAGGAGGCAGGGAAGGCTAAACCTCCCCCAAAAAATTATTTTTTCAATGTAATTTAGAAAAATGTGACAACATAATTTCAATCAATTCCGCGCCTCCACGACAAAAATCTGTGAATCTGGGATACTCAGCAATACCGGCCCGAAGGGCCGGAGTAATACGAGCCCGAAGGGCTAGAGTTATATGCGAGCCCGAAAGGCTACATATATGCGAGCCCGAAGGGCTAAAGTTATATGCGAGCCCGATGGGCTACAGTTATTTTAATCACGGGGTTTAGTCTATAATTCTATTGGTCAGCGGATAATTAAGAGCCAATTAAAAACCGGGAGTATTTAAAATGCGATTTTTAGCGTCCAATCAAAGAGACGGGAATATTCAAAAACTTCAGTTTTATCAAATTGATTTTGGAATGTTAGTTTTCTTAAGATTTTTACTTTTTTCAGAAAACAATGGTTTTTGCAAACATATACTTCTTTATCGTTGTTTTTTTTTTTTTTTTTTTTTTTACGGGTATGTCTTTGTCTTACCCACTATAATCAATAAGGAAACTTTGTAATGCCATTTTCATTGAAATTAAACTAAAAACAAGTTTCCTATGATTTATTTTGGGAATTTTAATTATTATAATCATTATTAATTGATTATTAACATGAATTTTAAACAAAAAACTCTTTTAAAATGTTATTTTTGTTTTCCGAGATGTGATGTGGCAACGTTGCTTTTAGTTGGCCATTTTGAAGTGACACCTTGTGATTTTTTGCCAGTTTTTCCTCGAACTTTCCACTTTTCCGGGACTTTTCAATGGAAAAAGGCGATTTAACATACGAGGCTTAGAGTTTTCTTCATTTTTCAGTAAAAATTTCAAGTTTTAAATACCATAATTAGCAAAATCCCATTTAAAATGCTTTTGATGTGGCAACATCGCTTGTGGCTAAATTCAATCAACAAAGCATTTTTGACAGTCGGCCATTTTCAATTGACGTGTTTACATTTTTATCCAGTTTTTCTTCGAATTTCCACTTTTCCGGTGCTTTTTCAGTCGGGAAAACTGATTTGAAGTACGAGGCTTTGAGTTTTCTTCATTTTCCACCAAAAATTTCAAGTGTTTTAACGGGGTAAGTAAGAAAAACTTTAGTTTCATCAAGTAGGTTTTAGAATGTCATTCTTGTTGGATTTTTTTTTGGAATTTTTATTTAACGTTTTTTGGGTCCGGGGATCGTTTTCTATCACTTTTTTAACGAAATCCGCAAAATTAAAAAAAAAAAAAATTGACGTTGACAGCTGTCAATTTTTTTTGACACAAATCGATAGTTGGCGTCGTGAAACTGCTTTGTACCGGGGTTTGATTTTCGGAGCTTTTATATACTCCTGGACAAAATTATCGCACCACTGCACATAAGCATCACCATAAGCAGTGCTGATGCGATAATTTTATCCAGGAGTATAGTAGAGCGGGGAAAAAGTCGAACATGTGCCAAATTTGACAGGTGACACCTGTCCATATTGCCAAAATGTCGTGCGACAAATATTTTGTCCGAACGAACCACTGATCTGAAAAATAAATGGATAAACAATCATACGGCTTGATTGGCAAAATTTGTGCGAAAATTTGGGGGTCAATATTCTTCGAACAGTTGTGCAACGGAACAGCCTAACGCCAGAGACATGAGTATGAAATGGACTGCGTGTTCCGTATAGGTGCCGTACGCGGCAGTGATGGAAAGATGGTAGGCAACCAGTCTTTCGCATTGTGGGCAAGAAGTTACACAAGCGCATTACCCACAACGAGAAATAACACATAATTTCATTTAAAGGTGACATATAATTAGTTATCCATAGTGTATCATTAAAAACTAAATAAATTGAAAGTATGTGTTTTGTGCAGACCTGTGAAGCAAAAAAATAAAACAACACTTAAACGTTAGATAAAAAAACTTGTTATTCCTAAAGAATTCTTGGGCAAATTCAAAGGCACAAAATACCAGATTGTAAGGTACAAATACTTATATGTAAACTTAAATTTAGGATTTAGATGCAAAACTGATTTTTTTTGCTTCCTTATTCTGATAATGGATTCTAACGAGAAAATAAACACGTAAAATTGCGTTGATCAGCTGAAGTAAATGATTATTAATAGGATCTTGGTCCAATATATGATCACCAAGCTCCTTAAAATAATTGTGAATGTTCATGTCACTCATGGTCCATATTATAATTTTTTTGAGTGTAGTGTACCATTGTCACCTTCACTTAACTTACACGGAGACTTGAGCGTATCTAACACTAACGTTTAACAAGTGCACGCGGATTTCTGCCCCTAATGTTCAGTTAGGGTTGCCTACCATGTTTACATCACTGTTCGTGCCGTACGCCCAGTCCATTTCATACTCATGTCTCTGCCTAACGCCTGCGCAGTGTCTTATCTTTCGAACAACTGTTCTAAATTTTGGAATTCCTTCATTTTCATTGGCCAGACTTTGTGCACACACAGTACATGTATCTACTGCGCACGCTCACAGCTGTCCGAGTCAGTTGTTTTCGTTCAGATTATGACCTCGTAAATTAGCAGCATTAGAAGCGTTCTTTGTTTATCCATTTATTTTTAAGATCAGTGGAAAGAACCCGTTCATTGTTAACTGATTTTAATACTCCGGCCCTTCGGGCCGTAATCTTTGAAACAAAAAGACGTCATTTTGTATCGATTGTCAAAAAAACTCAAGGTTTGAAATTTCAATTTTTTGACGTTTGCTGTATCATGAGCAGTGTTGCCATATATTTTTTTTCAAATTTCGAGCTCGAAGGGTCGAGATTATAGGTTATTTTAAAGCCAATCAAGAGCCGGGAATAATCAAAATTCGAATCCCCAAACCAATCAGGAGCCGGGAAAATTCAAAAATTCGAATTCCAAACCCGACGAGAAATTGAATTTTTTGTACTAACTGTTGCTACATGTTGTTACATAAATCTAACCCTAAAACCCACTAAAAAACGACTTTTGTTTTTTGGAAAAAACAACAGAATTTTTTTTTGAGATTGACAGCTGTCAAAATTTTAAAAAACCCACATGGGCTTATAGATTTAGTCTCGGCGAATACGTAGGATGTACCAATTTTTTTTTTAACATATGTCAAAACAGACGTTCGGCGTTGCCAGGCGGTTGGTTTTTGACATATATCGATGAAACTTCTTATTTTAGGGTTTTAGGGGCCTGGGGATCGTTTTCTGACATTTGTTTTTTGAAAAAAAGAAAAGGTAAAAATTTTTGACATTGACAGTTGTCAAAATTTAAAAAAAAAACCCACATTGGCATATAGATTTAGCCTCGGCGAATACGTAGAAAGTAGCCAAACAGCGCCAATTTTTTGACGTTTGTTGTATTATAAGCAGTGTTGCCATATGTTTTTTTTTTCGAATCTCGATTCTGGAAGGCTACGAGCCCGAGAGGCCGGAGTTATTTTAATCATGAGCCCGAAGGTCCGAGGTTATACGAGCCCGAAGGGCCGGAGTTATACGAACCTGTTCATGGTCAACTAATTTTAATACTTCGGCCCTTCGGATTGTAATCTTTGAAACAAAAAGACACCATTTTATATCAACTGTCAAAAAAACCAAGGCCTACTTTGATATTTCAATTTTTTGACGTTTGTTGTATTATGAGCAGCGTTGCCATATGTTTTTATCAAATCTCGATTTATAGGTTATTTTAAAGCCAATCATTGACATTTCTGAAAAATATTTCCTTTAAAATTCCCAAATATCCTTTGGAATCCCCAAAAATCTGTTAAAATCTCAGAATTCCATATAATTTAGTGGAATTTCGGTAGAATAATTATGTTATTCTGAAAAAGGAATTAGATGAGAAATTTTTGCGGAGTTTCCATAGAATTCACATTAAATTTTAATTCCTCTCGAATTACTTGAAATTTCAGTGAAATTCCGATCGAATTAGCCAACATGAAATTTCAATATATTTCGATGAATTTTTAAGAAATTACTTAATTGAAACTTCATTAATATTCCCAGAAATTCCTGGCTATTAAAAGAGAATTTCAGTGAAATTCCGAAAAATTCTTATGAAAATAAATTAAATTTTGAAAAATTCCTCGTAAAATCTACTCAAAATCACTGAAAATCTTTAAAATCTTTTAGCCTCCTCACTTGAAATAATCACGAGCCGCCACTGTAAGTACCTATCTATTTTATTAAAATGAATATGTATCTAATATGGAAAAAAAAAAATTCTGCGCTTGACAAGAAATGTCATAATTTTTGACCAGTTAACAGATCGCAAAACTCAATGTTCTCGTATTTTCAATGATTGCTAAGGAATCGACGGATAACAGTACGGGAATCACTTTTCCGGCCTAGGTTGGGAAAGTGTGCTGATTTTTTACGAACAACACAGAAGCATTCCTCATTTTTTCCATTACTTGAGCGATCGCAGAAAAAATAGTATGTGTATTGCAGAAGAAAAGCACATTCTCGGCTCGGCCTTCGGTGTTTGCCGATCAACTTACACCGTCGGCTGAGAATGTGTCACTTTTCCACCTAAATACACAATATACCATTTTTGAAGGCTTAAAATTGCTGTTTTTAGGCGTGGCACCCAAAACACTCCGGCGGGGTCAATGGCGGGTATGAGGTGATCTAATCTTGCACCGAGGCCCCCTGATGTCAAGTTACGCTACAGCTACTGTTTTGCATTCATTTACTTTCGAGATTTCCTCACAGTTATCTGTTTCACTTACAATAGTTTAAAGTTTTCATTTGTAAAGGGCCCCATACACTACGATGAAACACGACGGTTTTCATCGCCACGATGAAACACGTCGTTCTAGAACCAAAGTGTGTAATAGAAAAACACGACGGTTTTCTACAGAGCCCCACAGACTACGATGAAACACGACGGTTTTCATCGCCACGATGAAACACGGCGTTCCAAAACCGAAGTGTGGTAGGAAACCGTTCGTTTGTACGAAATGTTGAACCGTCGTGCCATGAATCAAGCTCGAACTGAATTTTACACCGGCGATGAAACACGACGGTTTTCTACCACACACTTCGGTTTTGGATCGACGTGTTTCACCGTGGCGATGAAAACCGTCGTGTTTCATCGTAGTCTGTGGCGCTCTGTAGAAAACCGTCGTGTTTTTCTATTACACTTCGGTTTAAGAACGACGTGTTTCATCGTGGCGATGAAAACCGTCGTGTTTCATAGTAGTGTATGGGGCCCTTAATACTTCGTTTTGAAAATAGTTTTTAAAAACAAAGTTTACTGAAGTGGAAACTTAATTACTGCAGCAGAATTTTTTTAAACTAATTTGTTTATTTTGACCCCACTAATTTATTGTCAGGGTATTGACATATTGGGACAATATTGGTTGAAAGTGTATTTGGAAATCTAATATTTTTATAAGTTTGAGCATGTTATAGGTTAAGTCTGCTTTCTCAACAAATATTATGTATTTCTATGACAATAAAGCAATTTTTGATTTGATTTGATTTGATTTACAAAAAATTTACGGCTTGTCTCAATTTTTTTTTTTTTTAATTCCTGGATTTCATTCAAGAACTTGCAATAGAGAAAAAATGGGACGAAAAAATTGTAGAAGATATCGTAGAGCATAATTCTAAGGCTTCATATTAGGTGAATTATTTCTAATTACATATCATAATAATCAGGACCCTACTTACATTAATGTTTGGTCGAGGTATACTACCAATTTTTGATTCCAGCAATATCGGTATCAAAACTCGCGCCACGGCTCCTGGTTTTGGTTCTTCCAGCTGCGATAAATCTCTAAAAACCATCGAAGTGAAACCGTCTGGCTGAATGTTGCTGTGCGACAGCTCTTTTTGCATTTCTTCAACGGCAGTGAGGAAATGATGGCAAGGAGCCAGTGCCGAGGCGTTACTACCTGGAAATTTTGTTATGATCACTTATCACCATTCAAAAAAATGTTATCAATTATTTACCTTTTACAATGTAAACCAAATTGAGGGCTAAAGCTCTCAATCTGAACTGTTTGACTGCACACTGTTCGGCGGGGCTCAGGCCCACGAAGAAAAATTGCAATTTGAGACAATATTCCAGTAAGGTATTAATGTTCGTTTTTAGTGTGTTTTGTTGTTGAGTCGCAAGGGTGGCTGGATTAACCTTAAAAACAAACATCTAAATATAATTTCCATCTTTGGAAAATTCTTACCCAAAAACCTCCATCCAATATCTGTAATATTTGCAGCTGAGCTCCAATATATAGAGCGATAAACTGTGCAGTACCCGAAACAATAAGATCCATATCGCTCAAGCGATTTAACTGTTCTTTTGCAGTTTGCAGCAAAGATATGTGGATTCTAGTCATATTTTCGGCCTGATCCAAATTGGCAATGACATTATTGAGAAATGCCAGGCTTTCGGGAACAGATAACGGTGTCGATATAATGTTGCAATTTGAATCAGATAAATTTAGGAGCGGTACAAATTGAGGCATCGTGTCGCGCAAGTAGGCATAATGTCTCAATGTGTGAGCCTCTAGAATCGGAGTGATGGTTAAAGAATGTTTGGCTGCATTGAGGATTAGGATCAGTAGGCATATATCTGTAGGAATTTGTTAAGAAAATATAATAATTTTAATATCATGTTATTCAGGTTATAACACAAAAGGAATATTATCAGGGCTGGGACTCTGTAAGGGATAGAGATAGTTATCCCTATCGTTATGGCACTTGCTGTCTTCAAGATCAATAGAGAGGGGACATCCATAGAGAAAATTTCTCTATTCGTTACAGACTCCTAGTTCTGATTCCGAATTTGACTTTAATTTTATGTAATCATTCACTGTTATTTGACTGGGTCATTTTTTCAAGGGAATGATTGGATTGTCTTGATGTTACTTTTATCCAGGCATTGAAATAATCATCACTCCCTAAGTCAAAATACGAATCTATTTTGGCAATTTTTTCGCGTCAGTGTCGCGTTGTTTACTCAATTGTAATGGAAGAAATGTTAGAAGCTGCCATTCTGGGGGGTGCAAATGATGTTTTTCGATTTTATCCATTCACAAAACACAAACAAAAAATATGAACAGATTATGTGAGGTTAGAATCTGAAAAATTCTTGGACAACTGACATTGTGCATGTCTCAAAAAATAGTGGAATAAATACTGCCTTTCATTATTTTGTCACAAATAAGGATGATCCTTATTTTATTACTGACTGCCACTATATTTAGTCACAAATACGCATGCGTAGGTGTCAAATAGAGAATTATGGCACCTTCAAATAGCGACCATCACTAATAAAAACGTTCTTATTTTGACATTATTGACACCTCCTACTCATGCGTATTTGTGACTAAGAATAGTGGCGGTCAGTAATAAAATAAGGATCATCCTTATTTGTGATTGGATAGTGAAAGGCAGTATTTATTTCACTATTTTTTGACACATGCGCAATATAAATCAAATGTCGGTTATCCACGAATTTTTCAGATTCTAACCTAACATAATTTGTTTATATTTTTAGTATGGGTTTTGTGAATGGATAAAACCGAAAAACATCATTTGCACCCCCTAGAAATAGCATAGCATGGCAGTTTATAACTTTTCTTCCATTACAATTGAGTAAACAATGCGACACTGACACGAAAATATGATCAAAATAGTGCCAATTGAACATGTAGTGCCATAATTCTTTTTATTCATGAGAAATAGTGACTGTCAGTAATTAAATAAGGCCGATCAGTAATAAAATCAATCACTATTTTGAAAGTGCCATAATTCTCTAATGTCAAAATAAGAACGTTTATATTAGTGACCGTCACTGTTTGAAGGTGCCAAATTCTCTATTGTCATAAACATTCTTGAGGCTTAAATTAATATACAAACTCATGAAAAAGTTCACATCGAAATTATTATTAATATAAGGAAAGTTTCTTTTATACGTTTTGAATCTTGAACTGCCTACTACCTATATATGTACAGGATTTAACATCATTACATACATTTATATTCCACTTTACTTCTTTCCCACACTCTACCTTTCTGGGAACCAAAGGAGTTTTCCGTGATTTTCTAAGAAAATTAAAAACTTGAAGTACAGTAAACAGTAAGAAAGAACATGTGAATTACTAGGTATAATAGAAAAGGATACAATGCGGGTTTTCAACATCTGGTTCAGCCATATCAAGGAACGGATGAATATTCAAAAAAAGAGGAACCAATGTCTCAACTAAAAACGGATGTTGGCTTCCTATATTTTGAAGACACCTGTAACAAAGTTATGTATATAATAGTTATTGATGTATCAAGGGAATTATGAGGGTGTTTGTTAATACCCCAGGAGGGCAAAGTTTATGTGCCAAGGGCTGAATTTACTGTATTTTGTCCATCTTTATAAAGGAATAAACCATAAACCAAAATTTCTATTTTTTCTCAAAGTTGTACAGGGTGGCCCAAATTCGAGCCTCATCATTGGGATCTCGATAACCGTAAGAGATACGGGGTCGGTTAACTTATGGCAAAGTTGCGCAATTTTATGACCAATAGAATGCCGATTTGAAACAAGAAAGATTCCGAATACTTCCGGAGATATTCGGAAAAAACCGAAATTTTGTAAAATCGTTTTTATGTTTTCCTGGAGCCTATTTGTTTGAAGAGCAATTTTAAAATAAAAGTCACTTTATCATTGTCACTTTTTCCCCTTTAGAAGATGGTGCTACTAAATTTAAAATTCGACGTTTCGTCTTCAGGCGGCCATCCTCAACTTCCTTTTTTTAAATACGGACCTGGATTTTTTATTTGCGATTTCGTCATCTTTGGGCATCCTAAAACCGATAATAGAGAATTATTGGAACTCTTAAATACTGCCTCGCAGTATTAAGGATCTACGTTATTTTATTAGTGCATCAGCACTATTTCTTCAAGAAAAGAAGAGTTATTGGAAGACTGTAGTAGGTGTTAAAGTATTACATTATTTTGTATTCATAATTTTGACAGATGATAGCAATTTTTATAAATTTCAAACTCATAAACTGTTTATTTTTGTATGCTAATTTCTGCTGATACCCATTTTTTGATGTTACCTATAGTAAAAGGAAAAACTATTGTAAAGAACAAATTCTTTGAGCAAAATTACATCATCGTGGAAAAGCTAAACGTCAAATTCGTCAAAAATGTCATAAGTATTGAAATAAGGGAAGTTTACTGCTTCGCACTAACCATACACAAATAAAGACAAGCAGTAACCTTATTACGGGAATCCTTATTTTCAGACCCAAATGCGCATGCGTAGATGTCAAAATAAGGCGAATTTAAATACTGCTTGTCCTTATTGCATGTCCAATAACTCTCTACTGTTTATAATTTTTTAATAACACAGTAAAAAAAGCAGGTCCGTATTTAAAAATAATAAATTGATTATGATTTCAGAGGAACGAAACGTTGGATTTCAAATTTAATACCGCCATCTTGTAGAGAAGAAAAAGTGACAGTGGGAATATGGAATTAGTTTCCACAATCTCTTTAAATAAAATCAGGGAAAAATTAAAACTACGAAAAAAACATAAAGGACCCCGCACACATCTTATGGGTTTTTGGTTTTCTGTCAAACTCAATGAAATTTTGATATGTGGTATATCTTGACTTACTGATAAAAAGTTCTCATGGGCCCAACCCGATACTATGATTAGTTTCCGAAATACAGGTGGTTTAATGTTCAAGAAATGTACACATTTTATATGCATTCACATCTACCTGTCACCTATTATTAAGTCTGTCAGAGTGAATTTCATTGGTTGTAACTAGTTTTCTGACTGTTTCTGACTGTTTTCGACCAATCAAATTCGCTCTGACAAGTTTGTGATTTTTGCAGAAACAGACCTATTATTAGGTGACAGGTAGATGTGAATACATATAAAATGTATACATTTCTTGGACATAAAAGTACCTGTATCTCAAAAACTAGTCATAGGATTGGTTCGGGCCCATGAGAACTTTTTATCAGGAAGTCAAGGTCTAACACATATCAAAATTTCATTGAGTTTGACAGAAAACCAAAAACCCATAAGAGGTGTGCGGGGTCCTTTCTCGTTTGTCTTAAATTTTTTCCTGATTCCATTTAAAAAGATTTTGAAAAACTATTTTAACATTCCCATTGTCAGTTTTTCTTCTCTACAAGATGGCGGCATTAAATTTGGAATCCAACGTTTCGTTTCTCTGGAATTATCATCAATTTATTTTTTCTAAATACGGACCTGCTTTTTTTACAGTGTTATTGAAAAATTGTTTACCTACGAGCGTGCGGTAAAGTGCACTTTACCGCACGTATTTGCAAATGGAAAGTATCACTTTACCGCACACTATGCGGTAAAGTGCACTTTACCGCATAGTGTGCGGTAAAGTCAACTTTACAGCATAGTATGCGGTAAAGAAAAACACAAAGTGTGCGGTAAAGTGCACTTTACCGCATAGTGTGCGGTAAAGTAGAATTTGATATTTATAATCAAAAATCCTCTCTTTTTCAGAAAATGGATTTTTGATCATTTCTAAATTTTATCTAATTTCATTAATTAATCTGAACCATTAATTAATGTTATCAATGCCTTTTTTTTGGAGTTAAAGATGCTCATAGGTAAAATTTTGTACCTAACACATGCGGAAAGTGCCTTTACCGCCCTTAACGGCTTGACCGAACTCCGCTTCGCGTCGTTCGGTCAACTGCCGTTGCGTGCGGTAAAGTATCACTTTCCGCATGTGAATAACTAAAACAGTATCGGTTTTAGGATGCCCAAAGATGACAAAATCGCAAATAAAAAATCTAGGTTCGTATTTAAAAAACGTAAGTTGAGGATGGCCGCCTGAAGACGAAACGTCGAATTTTAAATTTAATAGCTAAAGGGAAAAAGGTGACAATGATGAAGTGACATTTATTTTGAAATTGCTCTCCAAATAAGTCCAGGAAAAAATAAAAACGATTTTACAAAATTTCGGTTTTTTCCGAATATCTCCGGAAGTATTCGGAATCTTTCTAGTTTCAAAACGGCATTCTATTGGTCATAAAATTGCACAACTTTGCCATAATTTAACTGATCCCGTATCTCTTACGGTTACCGAGATCCCAATGATGAGGCTCGAATTTGGGCCACCCTGTACAGGGTCTGTTCCTTATAATTAGTGCGGCTTCTGCAGCTTGAAAAAAAAAATTAAAAAAAAAAGTTAAATGCAAAAGTTGTAGGGTTTTATCTTTATTATCTCTTGCAAATGTCAAAATGGTCAAATTACAAGTGCCAATTGTCATAATGACAATTGACAAACACTTGCATTATTTTTAATGGAACACCCTGTTTAATTTTGGCTAGAATGATAGATTTTTTTCTTCTCATTTCAAATATACCATATACAGTGACCGCCAAAAAGTTTGCAACAAATGGGAAAATATTTTATTATTAAGATATCAAAAAAAATGTTACGTGGGATCAATTCAGCGTACCCATCAACAAAAAAAATCACTGTGACAGATGTCATGTGACCACAGTCATAGCGGAAAATTTAAAAAATTCGCCTTAAATATGTGAAAAGTCGGGTTAGACGACCAGAAATCGAAAAATTGTAGAGAGAAAAGTTGTTCAGGATCCAATTTTACGTCCATGTGTCAATTTTTAAAAAGGTAAAGTTTGTTTCGCCAGGGTTTGTACTTGCCACCAGCATTTGCCTTCCTTGTTTAACAAATAAAAATTGACTGAAACAAATCAATGACCTCAAAAACGTTCGTCGGTTCTTAAACCAGAAGTAATTCATTTTAAATTGTCAAAAAAATTGAATGTGTCATATAAATTAATCTACGACAAACCTTGTTTGTCAAGTTTCAAGGTCAAGTATGAACCCTGGTGAAACGGACCTTACAAGGATTTTTAATAAATATTAATTTTTTGGCCTGTTTTCTGGTAATTTGAAAAATATCGAAAAGATTCCACAAAAATATTGGCTTGATTAAATTTAGAAAAGAGGTATTGGATCATTTAGAAAGATTTCATGATAATTCTAAATTTGTTATTCCAAATTTTTGTTTTCTGTAGGTCATTGCAACAAGATCAGAGGGGTCTGAAAATGAATTTTTGGTTTTTTACAATTTTTCGCGGGACAATTAAGCAGAATTACTGCACTCGATTTTTTTTTTGTTAGTTTCACTTTGAATTATGTAAACCAGACGGAAAGTTTTTGATATTTTTCAAATTACCAGAAAACAGGCCAAAAAATCGATATTTATTAAAAATCCTTGTACCTTTTTAAAAATTGACACATGGACGTAAAATCGGATCCTGAACAACTTTTCTCTCTGCAATTTTTCGATTTCTGGTCGTCTAACCCCACTTTTCACATATTTAAAGCGAACTTTTTAAATTTGCCGCCATGAATGTGGTCACATGACATCTGTCACAGTGATTTTTTTTGTTGATGGGTATGCTGAATTGATCCCACGAAACATTTTTTTTGATATCTTAATAATAAAATATTTTCCCATTTGTTGCAAACTTTTTGGCGGTCACTGTATGTTGATATTTGGTTCAGCTGTTGTTGCGCTATTTAATCAGGGCCGTCTTAAGGCATGAACCCGCTGGGCCCGGGCCCAGGGCCTCGGCGCCAAAGGGCCCTCATTGCTAAGTCCACGCCCAATTTAAAATAAAATTTAAGGGAAAAAAATGGAAAAAAAAATATAGGCGGGTAGCGATAGAATGCAACTTAAATGGCACAATTTACTTTGACTTTGTTCAAAACCTCTATATACGATTTATTTTCCTCGTCAATGCACCGTTGGGAAATGAATTCAAATTTAAGTTCCGATCATAAAGTACTGAAAAGCTTATCAAAAACACGTTGGTCTTCACGTGAAGACGCAGTTACAGCTTTAAATTGTGGATACAGAAATCCAAATGAGCCTTGATACCTCAAGTGCCGGTACTTTTGCTCTTATTTGACAGTCGTTAAAAATAATCAGGGCTTTAAATGTACCTTAACCACATCATATTTATAGACCTTGGCCCATGCAAAATTTTGACAACACAACGTATCAAATTCGTTAATCGATAGCAAAAGTATCGGCCCTAAGAATGACAAATTGCAATCAGCAGATACATGTCTTACTGCAAAAACATTAAACAGCAAGATGGATGACTTAGAAACTACTTTCTTAACTATTTTTTGGAATGATATTTTGACTCGGACTAACAGAGTAAATTTGTTCGTCCAAAAGGAAAACTGAAATTTGTTAG